ATCCATGCTGACCAGATCTAGTCCCATTTGCCTGCATTTGGCCCATTTATACACCCGTCTAGATGCCTTTTAAATGTTGAAATTGTACCAACCTCCACCACTTCCTCTGGCAGCTCATTCCATATATGCACCACCCTCTGTATGAAAAAGTTGCTCTTCAGGTCCCTTTTATATCTTTCCCCTCTCACCTTAAACTTATGCCATCTAGTTTTGGACTCCCCACCCCAGGGAAAAAAACCTTGCCTATTTACTCTATCCATGCCCCTCATGATTTTATACAAAAAAACTAGCCACTTAGCTGCTCCCCTGCTGTGATCTCCCCACACAGGTTTCTCCAAGGTCAGCTGTGAATTTTGCTGTTTGTTTACTTTTCTAAGATGAACTCCCTTGTCCAGAGGTACTTGAAATCAAATAGCAGAGGCAGTAACTGTGAAGGTTCGCTGCTGGGTCAGACAGCTATGTAGGTTTCTTTCTCCATTAATTGGTCAGTGCCTTTGTCTTCCTTCCTCCTTTTCTAAAATACTGTTGTTTTGATAGTTTTCCCCCTAAAGTTCTAAAACAACGCAACAGCTTAAAAAACAGTAATTGCTACTCCCAGAATTCGAGGAAATCAGCTTCAATACTGAAAATACCTCAAAAAAGGAGCAGCTCTTATAGCCACAATTTTTTCCCGTCCTCCACCTTGGATTACCCAGAATCCTTCATTTAACTCTGAAACCAAATTAGTGATAAACAGCAGGTTAATGTTAAGAACATTTCAAACACTTTGGTTTTCATAATGTTCAATGACATTGGCTGCAGGGATAACAGTTTGCAATTACTGGGGTCCATCATTTTGTTGATGGGCAGAACATTCAATATTTCCTGCTTGGATAAGAGAATTAGCAACACGTGAATACAACCAATATAGATAAGCCAGAACAGCTACTAGTTCCTCATTTAGAATTTTAACAATTTCAGCTACTATACCACACAATGTGTTTGTTGTTTAGGGTCATGTTTTTGAAGGAGAATCTTAATTTTCTGTTCTTCTGATCTAGATCTAACACAACAGGTTCAGTTTTAATTCCTGGGCAGCAGCATACAGAAAGCAGTTGGCTTGTCCATGAGCTCTAGCCAGGAAACCTCAGACAATTTTAATAGACTGAGCCTCAGTGACGTGCTACTTGCCAATCACCTGTGAAAGTGGGATAATCGTTAAAATGAGTGGCAGGAGGCCATCACTGAAGACCCACAAGAGAGGTACTTGAGACAGGGCAGTGCTACTGATAAGAAATCCTGATGCAGGGGAGATATACAAAGTTTTATTGCTAGGACTCAAAGAACATAACTGCTCCTCATGCCTCTCAACAACCAAACAGGCAACATAAAACTCACTTCCTCCAACTGTGGCTCCTACGCCTAAGTCAGCAATCATATTGAGCAAGTCACTACAGCTCCCCTGCTCTGCCCTCAGGTGACGCAGTGTATTGGGTCATGTTGACAATGGGCACAATTTTGCAAATTGTATCCCCAATCCAACATGCCCCACCCTACGTCCAGATTGTGGCCATGTCCCTGGCACGTGCAGTCAGACAGATTAGACAGAAAAGCACCAGTCCCACGTTAACTGTGCCCTCCAGCCGGCAGGGGAGTCAAGATCAAAACTTTTGCTCATTTTTTTTAACTCTTCGATGGAAATGTTATATTGTGACATTGTTTCTTAATTGATTTTTGTTTTAGCTCAAGGATTCTATCAATCAGTCTGCTGGCATATATCATGTGACACCATCCTTTTGAAGAACAGGGACAGTGGGTGGAACTAAATACCTGAGAATTGTGCAACATGTCACTGATCTCAGTCCCCTGGCAATTTGATGGTACAGTCTATTCATATTACCATTCAGTGCAGAGAAAACCTACTTGTCCTCTTCGTTGTTTGATCTTTTCCATCCGCTAAAACAATTCTGCTTCAGAGCTAAAGCTGCAGCAACATTTTTATTAATTGCAAACTGTAGCCCAAAGCCAATATTTCACTATTTGAATACAGTACAATATTAAACATGATCTGCTTGGTATCATTGTAGACAAAATTCTGTATTTTTTGTTTTGGCAGGTAAATGGAACACCAGCTTCAAAAAACACTTTCCTGCTTCAGACTGCTCGAATTTTAATGTTTAGTGAAAATGAGAGATCCTGCGTGCGACCAAAGAGGTCAACAACAGGTAATTTCTTGAAAACTACAGGCTTAACTACCCTAGTGACAGCAAATACCAATGTTGTCCTTTGTCAATCTGACGACAATATTTGTGCACAATATTGTGAGGGCCATGTTATACAGTTGATGAATGATACCACTTGAAGTGGTCCAGCCAGTCACTCAGTTGCAAGAACAATTCTATAAAGAATCATCACCACAAGTGGTGCAGTGGTGCAATCCCTCACCCCCAAATTTCTTCAGAACACTAGGAACATGCAATAAATGTAAGCTTGCTGGTGTTGCCTAAACTCGAAAACATATTTTACTTAAATCAGGAAATAGTAAGCTATTTGAGAAATTAATGAAATTGGAACATAGTCTATTAAAGTAATATGTGGTGAGCTAGAAGAATAATAAATAGTAAATTATTGTTTCTCATCTGAATCAATGAATCAGCACCTGTAGACAAATTTTAGCTCTCTTGGCTCAATAAAGTTTTTTCTCAGATTTGCAGCTCTACAACACTGCTACTTTTCACTATAATTACTAAGATTGTGATTGAGGTGTTTGTAATTATGAAAGGATTAGATAGTATAGAAAGAAATATGCTATTTTTAAAAGATGGAGTTTGTAGAACGAGAGTAAGTTGATATAATATTAAACATTAAATGACTTAGACCAGGAAGAAGACTTTCAACACTGTTGAATTCATTCCAAGTGTCATTGGTTGAAGCAGAAACAATGTTAACATACAAGATTAGATTCTGTAGGTGGACCAAGGAAACAAGGGTGAAGGGATATGTAACAGAGAAGGTAAAAATAATTATTTGATCCCACGGCATGTCAACATCTATACGGATATATGGCCCATCACACGTTGTGATGTCTTTGTGGTTAGACTTGCCAACAAATTCCCGACATTCTATAATGGTTTCTAATGTCTTATTACTTATCCAGCTGTCATCTTACACCTGATAACATTCTTCTGAAATACCTCCAGCCAAAATCAAACGAACAGTTCAGTTTTTAAAAGGAAGTTACAACTCTTTGGTCCAACATTTATCTATTATACCTCAGGCTGGTCATGATTTACACTCATTTCAAATCATTACCAGCTAAAGCATATGCATCTTTATTGTGCATTATCCATCTGCCACACATCTACATCACTTGATGGAAATGACACAAAGTGAAAATCTTTGGAAAACTGAACAATCACATCAGGTTTATACTGATCAGACACTGATTTGATACATGTTACAAGACTACACTACAACATCTCCTAAACGAAGTAGAAAATGCTAACAGCCTCGGCAGTTGATAAGGTCCTTAAACATTTTATGAAGGTGGTCAACAATTTTACAGAAATTTCTGATTTACATTTAGTTTCTATTGCAACACTGAACTTGGTAAAGTAACTTTTCAAATGAACAACTAGTTCAAAACAAACTGAAAGATTGTGGTTTGTTCACTATTTGAAATCTTATTCAAAATAAGTTCTTGATTTTTCTGGAAAGGATTCAACACATATACAAATACACGTGTTCTATTTCACATTGGTATCTGTATTAAAGTACAGTAAAATGTTCACATCAGGAATTATTTTCTAAAAGCTGATAATCCAAGTGATGTGAATGGGGTTGCACTATGCTGATCAGTTCTTTTTAAAAACTATTTTTATAGACTCATTTCAGTAACACTAAACAAAATATTTTATAGTTCACAGGGAATAGATATCCTAACAATTTCCTATTAATTTGATTAATCGTTTTAGTCACTAGGCAATGGGTTATATTCTTGTGCTGTGTTACTTCACAAGCCATGTGAAGATGTTAACCACTGTTATTGCCTCTAGCACCTCAAATTATTGGTGTATTATTTCATGCATGCACTGTCTTTTTATCAATTACTTTTGAAGTAATGTTAATAGACTAGAAAATTGAGACATTTATGAAGTATAGGCTGTGTTTATGAAAAAAATCCATAAAATATGACAAAGGCAAGCCTTGATAAAAGCTGCTTTTTAATAGATTATGGCAAAGTGATCCTGCCAGAAGCTGACAACTGACTCCTCTGAGATCACTCATTTTTATGGGATTAATTTTGTCGTACTATAAATGAAGTTAAGCATCCTAATTGATCTGTACACACTGTACAGTATTTCAGCACAAAACCTTATAACCCTCCTTATACTCTGTTCTGCTGATCCTCGGTTAATTATCTTCTACTGATAACTGAGAAAGACATTTCTGCTGGCAAATTAAACTGATCGTTTTTTCTGACTTCGCCAGAATTCTACTGTATCCAGAATGATTCTTAACAATCATCAGCTTTAGTGTCAATAGAGTTTGTAATTTATCTCATCAATTTTATTGACAATCAAAGGGGAGCAAATATTAAAAAAAACATTTGGCTAAAATGCTCAAAAGCAAAAGTTAATGAGCTATAAATTATAATCTCCTAGAATAATTATCACCAAGGCTTTAGGCAAAATGTTCTCCAGAGATTACTAAAGTATGAAAATCATTATTCTAATTTTCACTGTAAAATACACAAACGGTTTTCACTTCTCCAAAACTGAATGATATACAATATAAATTCTTTCACCTTCAGCTTCTGGTTCTGAATCCCCACTAAGTAGGCTGGGTTTGAATCTCTCCCTGATGCATTTATAAGAGTCCTAATTGGGCTTTTCTTGATCTCATTCCAGTTTACAAAGGAAATGAGGGAACATTTCAGAACTGTTCCCACATTGAGCAACAATTGATACGTAAATAAAAATCAAGCACTCCTTTTTAGTTTTTTTTTTAAAAGGAGTTTTTTAGTCATTATACATAGATTCAAGGCACAACGGTCTTGGAGGACAAGCAAAAGAGGCAGCACGCTTTAAAGCAAAATGCATCCATTCACTGGTGATCCTGTCACCTGGATGGGCTTCATTAACAGACCTAAAAGGTTCCTGCCTCCAAGTATCTACAACCGCCTGCAGCAGATTACCAGAGGTGGCAGTTAGAGCTCTGCCGATAAATACCTCCATTACTGTTGCAGCATATAATTTTACATATTAGAAGTATGATGTTTTGAATCAATTTTAATGACTCAGATCACTTAAACGTTATTAACATGCTGTGACCAAAATGGTTATTTTGCATCAATGCATCAGTCTTGTACTCAGCATAATACACACAAATACAAGAACATATGATTTTCTCTTGCGGTTTCTAACATAGCCAGCAGTAGTTCTCACCTCCCTACAGGAACATCATTAGCTGCAGGCTACTATGGTAATTAGCTACCAAGGTTGAGAAGTTCTGTTGATAATATACATTGCTTTCTTATGCATTGAGTTTTTTATCACAGCAGAATGCATACATTCTGGAAAGAAGGTAATCATTCAGATCAAAAAATTATTCGGGTTTTAACTAGTGTAATTTAGACAGAAAGAATGTTTCCTTGCTTACCTAATAAGTCCTTAACTGCCTTCATTGCTTACCTTAACTGACTGGCTGTAAGGTCCTATGTTAGCAGGGGCCCAGTGTGAAATGCTCTGAACATGCATGGTCTCCTTTCGTTGTTCAATTGTATCCTGCAAGGTTAAGTTATTTTTGTGGACGAGGCAATCAATTTGAAGTGCCACTCCATCAGGTAATGGGGCTTCCACACAAACCCTAGAAAAAACACAAGGGGAACAATTAGGAATAACTTGCTTACTTTTTCAACTTTGGACACTTTCTCTTGGTCAGGGACTTTTCTCTGAGATGCCTCACTATTTCATTTTCCCTCTTCTCATTAAGAGCTATCATAATTTGAACCTGCATTAATTGAACGAAAGATTGAGAACTAATTATTGCTTAAAAAAGCACATTGTTTGTGGATCATCATTAATAAGTTTCTCTTTACATTGAGAATGAACATACACCTTTTAAAATATTTTTTCGGTATTTAAATCTCTATCTAACCTTATGCCTTGGTCAAGCCTTTTGGGATTATATGTCAAATGTGCTATGCAAACTCATGTTGCTTTTGTGCTGTTTCAGTAAATGAACAAATACAATCAAAATACTCATATTCATTTAGAACAAAGGTTTTAAACTTTTCTATATAAAGACAAATCTCTAACTACTCTTTCAATTGTTGGTTAGCATAAGAAAAGCAATGCTATACTGTAGTTACATAAAAGAAGTAAGCACTAATAAGTTTCTGAATAAAGATAACCTATGATGACCAATTAAAGATTTTATTACAGCATCAGCAATATAAAATTACAAATGGATTGACATACAAGTTTTCCAGAGTATTAAGAAAAAACTTTAACACGTGAAGTGTAAAATTGATCATTTTCAGCAAAGTTATAAAATTGCTGTAAGACTAAAAATAAATAATATTATGGGAGAAAGGTGGTTGGAAGTTGAAGTTAAAGGAGTCAGTGATTAGAAAGAGAAAGAAAGAGGTTAGCATCTCAATTTATACTGCAGTTCACATACATTGGCAGGAGTTCAAGCGCAGTAGAGCACCTCAGAGGAAGTAGCTCTCCAGGATTGAGATTAAACAGGTTAATTTGCAGTAGAATTCTAAAAAAATATTCTAGTCAAAAATTATTTTATGCCTTAAACTAAATTCTTGATCATAAAAGGAGGAAAGGGCAATTCAGTAATGCCTTGAGGTAGTTTACGGATATAAGCAGAAGACAAACGTATGTATTTACGACTGTATTCCGCAGAATGACAGGGTTAAATTCATCATCTTTGCTGAGATATTTAGGTCAAATTATACAGTTAGGCAAAAATATAAACCCTAGATTAAGTGGTTCCTCCAGCAGAGGTCAAACAGAAATCCCCATTCTTTCTACAAAATGTTACCTTTTAAAGACTGCTCCCAGCCCCGTTTTTCTTAACCCATATACTGTCAGAGAGTAAAAACAGAAAGTATTGAGAATACTGAACATATCAGTCAGCATCTGCAAAGAAAGAATGTTAAAATTTCAGGTTAATGACCTTTCCTAATTTTTGTTTTTCTTTCACCTTTCCGGCATCTGCAGCATTTGGCTTTTGTAATTTAGTTTTCAGCATCACAAATTTGATTTAGTAACACTGGAACCAAAGGTATTTAGCACTTCAAGTACGTTCAGCCATTAAGCGAGATCATGGCCGATCTGAGATATACCTCATACATCTAGTCTTTGCCCCTTATCATCTGGTAGCTTTGGATAAGAAAAATCTATCAAACTTTGTTCACAAATGAACAACAGATCTAAAATCAATTGCTACATGTGGATGAGAGTTCCAAGTTCCAACCACCTTTTGATTGAAGAAATATTTTCTAATTTCACTTCAGAAACGTTGGCTCCAATTTTCTGATTATGCCTCCTTCAAAACTTCCCAACTAGCAGAAACAGTTTCTTCAGATCTACTCCATCTGCTTCCTTTGGAACCTTTCAAATTTCAATTCCAAATCGGAACCAAATTCTGGTTACAAATCAGACAAACTGTCAACACAAATCGTAGTCAATATTACCATTGCACATCAAAGACAAACTTCATATTACTTATCACAGACCAGTTTCTGACCACAAATCAGATATGACACTGTTAGTAAAATCAGTGACTACAGTCTAAACATAAATCTGTGTCCAAACTCGCAGCATAAATCAAATCTCATCGACACATAGTGAAGCAGTGTCTATATTTGCAATCCTCATCTCACAACAAATGTATGTTGACATTGTGATCAAGGATCAAAGCTCACTACTTGATCACAAACCACGTTCTGCACTCTGAAATCATAGGCTGTACTGTGATCACAAATTAGGGACCACACTTTGCTGATAAATCACCACAACCTTCTCATCAGACCATAAGAAACTGGAACAGGAGTAGGCTCTTCAGCCCCTCAAGCCTGTTCAGGTATCAAATTGGATCATGGATTCTTTGACACTGCTCACTTCCACTTTCCTGCATTTTCTCTGTAATCCTTGATTCTCCTACTAATCAATAATCTATTTATCTCAGCCTTAAATACAGACAAGGATTCTGCCCCCACAGCTCTCTGAGGCAAGGAATTCCAAAGACTCTCATCCCTTTGAGAGAAGAAATTCTTCCTCACCTCAGTCAGAAACTGGCATCTCTTTATTCTGAGACTATGTGCTATGGCCCTAGACTCTCCCATGACAGAAAACATCCTCTCAGCAATTACATGTCAAGCACCTTAAGAATCCTATATAGTTCAATGAGATCACCTCTCTTTCTTCTGAATTCCAATGAAGAGAGTCCCAAACTGTTTAACCGTTTCTCATAGGGCAATCCTGCCATGCCAGCGGTGACAGAGGGAACGGGTGGGTCTGGGGCTGTCGGGGCAGGAATTGCCATGCTGGTGGTATTCTGCTCAAACCGAGCACAGAAAGCATTGAGCGTGTCAGGGAGGGATGTGTCATTGTCCGCTATCTTATACTGTTCGTTTTGTATCCCGTAATGTCGGTTAGGCCTTGGCATAGATGGCGGGAGTCTATTTGGTAGGTCTGAGCCCCTAACTTGGTCTGGGGCTGCTTCTTGGCCTCCCTAATGGCTTTGTGGAGCTCATATCTGGATTTTCTGTATTGGTTCCAATTTTGACTTGATATTTACCCACATTATACACCATTTGCCAACTTTTTGCCCACTCACTTAACTGTCAATATTGCTCTTTAAAAACTGGCTAATGAAGTGTAATGTGGGAAAAAAAAGAAGAGAATAGTATTTAAATGGAGAAAAATTGCAGACGCTACAACATAATGCGACTTGGGTATACGTGTGTATGAAACACAGAAAGCTAGCACACGGATGCAGCAGGTAACCAGGAAGGCTAATGGAATGTCGGCCCTTATTCCAAGGGGGTTGAAGTTTGAGAGTAGGGAAGTCTTATTACCACAATACAGAGTGCTGGTGAGACCACATCTGGAGTGCTGTGAGCAGTTTTGGCCCCCTTATTTAAGGAAAAATATCATTTCATTGGAGGTGGTTCAGAGAATGATCAGTAGGATGATCCCTAGTACGCAGGGATTGTCTTATGAGCAAACATTAGTCTGAGATGAGGAGGAAATTCTTTTCTCAGTCTTTGGAACTCCTTGCCTCAGCAAGCTGTTGGGGCAGAATCGTTGTCTATATTTAAAGCTAAGATAGATAGATTCTTGATCTGTAAGGGAACCAAGAATTGTGGGGAAAGTTGATGGCTGAAATGTTGGATCAGCTATGATCCTATTGAATGGTGATGTAGGCTTGAGGGGCCGAATAATCTATTCCTATTTCTTATGGTCTTATAGTAAGAGGGAGAAAATGCACATTCAAACACCTTTTGAAAATACTGAAGCCTCTTTCCCTGTCCAACTTATCAAGTTGGCAATAGGTTAGTGCCACCAGGAAAATAAATTTAATCACAGGAAATATAATTGAGAGCGATCAGGGCTAAATTGATGAAGGCATGCAGATTCTGGTGCTTTATGGTCTTTTAGGACTATAACAGAACAAGTTTCCAAATGGTTGTTATGCAGATTCTCTGTCAATTGTACAGGGCAGCACAGTGGCAGAGTGGTTAGCACTACTGCCTCTTACTGCCAAGGACCCAGGTTCAACTCCAACTTCGGGTGACTGTCTATGTGGAATTTGCACGTGCCCCCCACCCACCCTCCCCTGCGTCGGTCTGGGTTTCTGCCGGGTGTTCCAGTTTCATCTCTCAGTCCAAAGATGTGTAGGTTATGTGGATTAGCCAGGTCGGATTTATCCATACTGTCCAGGGATGTGTATGCTAAGAGGGTTAGCCCCGTTCTCATAATCTGAAAACCACTTACTGTCATCCTTTTCAGATCTTTAGGGTGTAACCTTGTGTATGGGAGCACTACCATGGCAAGTTCTCATTAAAGCCATTGAAGCATTCTGACTTGGATTTTACCAATTTTCTTTCACTGCTACTGGGTCAAAGTCATGGAACTCTCTCCTTAATAGCACTGTGGATGTCCCTATGCTACATGGATGCTAGCGGTTGAAGAAGGTGGTTCACCACAACGTTCCCAAGAATACTTTGCGGTGAACGATAAATACTGGTCTAAAGACTGATACCCATATCCTGTGAAAGGATGTAAAAAAAAAAGTGATGCACTGACAAATTTTTCATTAAATTAAAATTCAGTGCACAGCTCAATTACTATCAATTCTCTTTGATTAAAAGTTAGGGGGAAATCTAGAAAAGACAGTGCACTCTTTCCAGAACAGACTTTCTAGACACATATGGACCTGTATGGATTCCAAAATGTTTGAAATGACAATGAATACAGGTTCAGGTGGATACTAATAAATGGCCTTACGTGCAGCAATCATCTCTATACACCCACCAGCGCCTTACCAAACACCTCCAATGATGAACATGGCTCTATTTGCTTTGAAGAGTGAACAAGCAGGTAAAATTATTTAATAAACATGATCAGATCACTTAAAAAACTATGAAAAACCAATGGAAATGTTGGCAGATTTGTCCTGTCAGAGCATGGCAACAGTAAGGGCAGAATACAGTACACATTGTTTGATAATGCCCGTTAATTGAAATATTATGCTCCTCTTTCTGTAGGACAGGATCAAGAATTACAACTGGTACTTTGACAATCCTTGTTCTTCTCTTGTGACAACAAGTAGTTCGATTAACTTTGACCTTTTAAATAGCTTGAAAACTATCACGTATAATTTAATATTTTGTTGCCTAATTTGGGGAATTAACCCAGCAACCAGTACATATTTTTCTTTCTCTCACCTTGCTAAATATTTTTTCACACACATGAATGTTCTTAGCTTGCAACAGTAAAACTAAGCAGTTATAAAATTTAATGGATATATTACCTTGCAGGTGGATTTAGATTGAAGTAGGAATCATAGATTGAGTTTATGATACCAAAATCTTTCATGTTCTTCACATACAGGTGAAGGAGAATGATGTCTGAGAACTTGTACCCTTTCGCCGCCAACTCCACTACAACAAAAGGTAATCAGCTTTCAACCAAAATAGTCAAAGTTTTATAGTAATATATTCTGAAGGAATTCTCATCATTACATTTATTTTCTCTTTCTATTCTGATTTATAAAGAGTGCTACTCAATTTTACACTGACGTTAAACATTTATGTAGATAAGTGAACACTGCCATTGAAGAAATGTGTTGCAAATGTGGAATGTATTTATGATGATATTCATTTTTATTTCATATAAACAATCATACTGTAAATGTCAATTTAGTAATTCTTGTTAAGCATTCCATGCCATCATAGCACGCTCGTTTTACTTTGTTAGTTTTTTTTGGAGTAACAAGAACTTAAAGGAGTACAAAGATATGTTTAGAATGCAAGTATATAAATGCCCAAAGTGTGATGAATAATTTGTTGAGCTACAAGTTGAAATAGATGTCTGAGGATATGATAGAGTGACAATAATGAAACATGGTTTAAAATGGTGACTTACTGGTGCTTTATATTCATGGATCTGTTTGAGAGACAGAGTGAAGGAGAGATGAGAAAAATGTTCTTTCACACAGCGAGCAGTTAGGGTCTAGAATGCACTGTGTGCAAATGTGGTGGAGACAGGTTCAATTGAGACATTCAAGCAGACAGTAGATGATTATTTAAATAGAAGCAATGTGCAACAGTATGCAAAAAGGCTGGAGAAAGGTATTGAGCCAAAATTCTCAGAGACCCAGTGCTGATGAGCTAGATCAAGTGGTCTCATTCTGCGCTGTAACAATTCTGACATTGAGAGTTAGGGAAGAGGAGAGGAGGAAGAGGCAATGAGATAGAAGGAGAGGGAAAGAGAGATAATCTGCAGGAAAACCACACTGCAAAACAAGAAGACACAGTGGTGCTCCTAGATGACTTAGTAACTCAAGTGTCGTTTGGGATAATGTTTGAATTAAGAGAAGGAGGGGAAAAATTTTGAAATGTGTCCAAGAGAACTTGCTTACCAGTGAGCTCTTGGTTGAATTAGGAGGGATGCTTTGTTGAATCTGGTGCTGGGGAATGTAGTGAACCAAGTGGATCAAATGTCTGCACAAGAGCACTTGGCTTTGAATGCTCAGCAAAGCATAAAAACAAGTATAGACCAATAGTTATTTGCAACACAGAATGAGGTCATAAGGTCTATCGACTCTATGCCAGCTCTCCTTGGAGCAAACCAGTCAGTCTCATTCCCTCAATCTCCAAGTTTATTTTCTCCAATTTCGCGTTTTTACATTCTCTCTCCATCCCTTGCCCAAAACCTAAAATTTCTGTCCCCTAATCTTGTATCAACGCCAATGGGTACAACATATTGCTTGCCAATCTATTTCATCTTAGATACCTTTATCAAATGTTCCCTCAATCCCCTTTGCATCAAGGAGAACAATCCCAGCTTCATGAACCTAATCATGTAGCTATGACCTCCCATCGCTGGAACAACTTTGGTAAGCCTCCTCTGAACTCTCAAGTCCTTCCTAAGGTTATGGAAATAGAATATGGGAATAGGAGTGACTGAATTGCTTCACAGAGAACCACGAAAAGTGAATGATTTCTGCCGTGCTTTTATGACTCTACAAGTTAACAGTTTTCACTCTAAATCCCAGAATGTGATTAGAATAACATTTATCATACAATTTACCATAAAAGAGTTCAATTTGGATATATTACACCTTGGCTGATGTTTTCAAATTTATCTGTTATTGTCATACACATTACTACATTGAGGAAAAATAGGCTGCATAGACAATGTTTTACAAGCAAAGGGTGAAATTTGTACGTTAGTCAATGGCACCGATGTACAGTTGTGGTGTTGAGAACAGTGATATTTTACAGAAGAATGCCTAAACCTGGCTAGTTGTAATGTAAGATTCAAAACAATTTAGCTGGAAAAGTTGTCTAAGGTTTCTTGTGCTGAAATAACAAATTATTTTAACATCTGAGACTGAGTGCAAGCACAACACTGAAATGAAAAAGGATAAAGGAAATACCTTGAAGCAGGGAGAATGTCTGCTTTGTTGCATCATTAATGTTTTTCCCTACCATGGGAAAATGTGTTCCACTAATCCATTGGTATCCATTTTTTGTGTTCCCAGACCAATGATTGAACTTGTCTGAAAGAAAATAAATGAAAAATTCATAAAGAATGGAGCAAATATATGCAGGATGGTGAATTCCTCTGTCATTCAACATTGAAAATCATTTAGAACTATGAAAGACCCCATCCCAGAGTTGAACAGCCTGAAGCATCGATTTCAAAGTCTATTTACATGCCCAGCATTACGCACACTAACTGACAACATGCTCTGACATGAAATAAATGATGACTATTGTATGAAGGTGCTATGCAATTAATTTACTAAAACTGTGTTATGATATAGCTCTACTATGACATAAAGTTCTAATTCTGATATGGCTTTAGGACTTAAAGACTGGTGCTAACCTATTCATGTAAAACAGTCAAATACTCATCGAAACAGAACAGACAAGAATATAGCGCAAACATCTTGCGCACTAGTATCAATAATGCTCATCAAAAAAAAACCCTTACTGGTCATGTTTCATATTTTGTGAATAATGGTTATCCACACAAGTGTCAGGCAATGACCATCTCCAACAAGAGAAAACATAACCATCATCGTTTCATATTTGACAGCATATCATCACTGAATCACCCATCATCATCCTCCTGGGGTGATCATTGACTAGAAACTGAACTGGACCAGACATACAAAGAATTTACAAGAGCAGGTCAGAGACTGAGAATTCTGATGTATGCAACTTACCTCTGGATTCCCCAAGACTTGTCCACTAGTGACAAGGCACAAGTCAGAGTATTGAGGAATTATTAAAATGCTCATGAAGCTTAATACCGCCCAGAACACATCAGTTCGTGTTATTACCACCTCATCTACCACCTCAAACATTTATTCTCTTCACCACTGATGTACAATGGCAGCAAGTACCACTTTGAAGGGCAAGAGCAGTAGATACATGGGAGCACTACCCATCTGCAAGTTCACCTCCAAGCCATACACAGACTATGAAATATATACCCACTCCTTCAGTACTGCTAGATCAAACTCCTGGAATTCCCTTCCTAACAGTGTACCTGCACCCGATGGATTTGAGTAGTTTAAGAATGTGCCTCACCACCACTTTCTCAAGGGCAGTTGGGGGCAGGCAATAAATGTTGGCCCTGTTAATGACCCACAAATTTCATGAAAGTTTTGAAACAAAATGCAATGTAATCTAACTTGTACACTATATGCAATGTACAGACTCACCAAAACTGAACATTTGAAACAAGTTCAAGAGCGAACGTGCAATCTTAGCAATGAAGCCAACAAAAATGTTGCTACAATGTGCCTGTTTAAAAAAAAGCTGAACACTTCTAACAGTCATCATGTTAAAATGGGAAATTAACACTTTATGAAATGTGCAACTCATGCTTTCTATGTAATTTTTTTAATAAAACCTACTTTACAGGTCCTTTCGTAGAAGATTTAAACTGCATCAAACCATGGGCGCCAGAACCCCGCCAGTATATTCTCCAAGTAGTTGTGCATCAAGTGAGAACACAACACTGACTGCCAGCAGGCTCATTGAGCTTTGGGATCTATCATCGAGCCCTCATTCTGCCCTTGCCCGACTCATGCGGGTGCTCATTTTGCAGCAAGACTTGCTTGTAAGAATTCTAGCTGTTATTTCCCCTCATTTGCACACTAAGACTTAAACACCCATTGCTATCATTCTGAAACCAGCTAAATGGTGACCCATCAGGAATTAAATGGCAACTTTATGGATCTAGCTCAGAGCCACATCATGCAGTGCCTCCCTCAGTACTCTTTAAAACAAATGCTTTCCTTTTAAACAAGTGGAGTCTATAATACAACAACAGCTTGTATCTCTACTGGCAAAGCTGTTCCCATTCCACCTATTAAATGTTCATGAAGCTAAATATAACAAAATACAGGTATATTGTACTAATACACAGAATCATAAAATAGAATCATGGAATCCCTTCAGTGCGGAAAGAAGCTAGTTGACCCATCAAGTCTTTGCCACTTATCCAAAGAGCATCCCACTCCCCTGCCACCCCACTCTGCACTTCCCCAGGCTAATCCACCTAGCCTGCACATCCTTGGACACTATGGGCATTTTAGCACGGCCAATCCATTTAACCTGCAAATCTTTGGGCTGTGGGAGGAAACCGGAGCACCCAGCGGAAACTTGTGCAGACACAGAGAATGTGCAAACTCCAAACATTCACCCGAGGCTGGAATTGAAACCGGGTCCCTGGTGCTGTGAGGCAGCAGTGCTAAACACTGAGCCACCATGCCACCCTCAAATATATATGTGTACTACATTTGGAAATTAACGTATTCCTTTTCTTATTAATAACATTTAAGTAGTTAAATTCTGGCGTCTGTATTTGAACCTTAAGCGAAATGTAGTTAGCTGCCACTTTTTTTCTGAAAAGATGTTCTGCAGTCTGTGCTGTTATTCAGCAGGTACCAAATATGTCATTTTTTTTCCCACCCTTTCCAAACAAACCTTGCTATTATTTTAATGATGGCATTTGTAAAATTCTTTCATGGAACTCCTATCAACTACACATGGTCCAGAATTTTTCCATTTTATTTCCAAGTGTGTTGTGCGGACACTAAAATGCCGCCCCTCTCTGCTGTGGACATAACAGCAATCAACTCATTGAGAGCACACTCCACACTAAAGCTGCCAATCAGACACTGGAATTTTCTGGGTCTTAAAATCAGCCATTGAGGCCTACTCCTTGGGTGATCCAGTGGTGACATAGTAAGTCTCTTTCTTCCTTTCACTCATTCAATGCCTCTAAATTCTCCCACAGGGAAACTGAGCCCCTTCACCAACCCACCATATAGGTTGTCATGGCTTCTCCATCAAGAAACTAACCGCCCTTCTTGCCTGCTATGATGATCAGGTCATGGTGAGTTGAGGCCCCTCCATGGATATTAATTGAAAACTTAGAAGCCTTAATTGCTGGCAAGTCAAGAAAATCACCATGGACCTTCTTGCCTTTGGCGAGAAAGGGTTCAGCTGTTCTCCAATCCAACTCATACAATTACTTATCATCTTGCCATCTCTCTTATCACCTCCAGGAAAAGGAAAATTGCACCCAAGGTTACTCCTAAAATGTATTCCTTGTGTTTTTTGACTAGGACACAGTTAGACTAATGGAATGGGCACACATGTGGCAGCTGCAAGTTAATATGGATAAGTGCGAACTGATTTGGAGAAACAACACAGAGAGGTGCCATAATTGAAACGGCACCATTTTGAGGTGGCTGCAAGAGTAAAAGTGCCTGGCAGTGCACATTCACAAATTTACGAAGCTGGAAAAATAAGTTGAGAAGGCACGTAAGAAAGTTTATGAGATACTTGAGTTTGTAACTAGCGACGTTATAGAAAGCAAGATATCATGCTGAATTGTAAATCCACATTTAGGCATCAGCTGGAGATATTATGTACAATTATGGACTCTTCTGCAAGAATGTTGAGGCCTTCATAAGGCATTCAATGAAGTGTACAAAATTAAGTGCAAGATTAGGACTCAAGGAGTTACAATAATATTTTAGAGAATAGAGGATTGGTTAACAGACAGGAAGCAAAGTGTAAAGCTAAATGCTGTGTTTTCAAGTTGACAGTGGAGTGCTACAAGGGTCAGGACTGGGTCTCAGCTATTTACAATCTAAATTAATAATTACGATGAAAGAAAAGCACAAAATGTAGTCAAGTTTAGCTTAGAATGTAACTTGTGCAGAGGACAAAGATGCTGCAAAAAGATATAGACAAGTTGAGTAGACAACAATGTGGCAGATGAAGTATTATGTTGGATAGTGCCAAGTTATTTAGTTTGGTAATAAGAATAGAGATGCAGAATTTTTTGAAAGATTTACCATGTTGATATTCAGAGATTCAGGTGTATTTCATACAAGGAATCAAGTAAATTATGACGCAGGTTCAGCATGCAACGAGGATGATAAATGGCACGTTAGTGTTTACTGCCCGGGGAATACAGTGTCATAGCAAGACACTGTTATAAATTGTACAAGGCTATAAGAAGATTACACCTGGAGAACTATGGCCAGTTTTAATCTCTACTTTTAAGGAAGGATATTCTGCTTTGGAGGTCGTACAGCGAAGGTTCACTAAATTGGTTCCAGGGATTGACAGGCTGAGTAAATTGCGCCTATACTTTTTGGATTAGAAGAACGAGAGATGATCTGATTGAAACCCACAAGATTTTGAAGGTGCTTGACAAGGCAACCACAGAGGCTGCTTCCCCTGATTGAGGAATCCAGAATGGGGGGGGAGGGGTGGCAGCTTCAGCTTCAGAGTAAAGGAGCTGATTTTGAGTGGAGATGAAGGCAAATTTCTTCAATACTGAGTTCCAAACCTTCAAAATTCTCTACGCGAGAGGATAAGTATGTTCCACCATTTAATAAATTCGAGGTTGGGATAGGTCGATTTTTGATCCCTAAAGGATCAAATGCAGAGAAAAGTCGAGTCAGAAGAACAGCCATAGTTGTATTAATTGGTGGAATAGGTCAAATGATTAACTCTATGCTTTTTATGCTCCTACCTTTTGTGGAGAATGATACCAGGGATACATTTTGGTAAAATGAATAAGGAGAGGCGGTATAAACTGAAGAATGGTCACAGTTTGAAGAGGCAACCGAATCAGAGTGACTTGGGTGTGTAGGTACTTAAAATACTGAAGATAGCAGGACAAGTTGAGGAGGCTGTAAGAAAGTTAGTCGGCTTCATTAATAGCCCCAAAGAGTGCATAACAAGAAAGTTATAATAAAGCCATAGAAAACACAGTGTAAAATCATGAATCATAGCGGCAGTGTAAATAAAGCTAAATTATTTCCAGTGATTGAATGGCTCAATAATCAGACTTAAAATCATTATTAGAAGAACTAGAAGATGATTGAGAAATGTGTCCAGATGTTGGGTTATGATTTGCAATGAATTTGCCTTAAAGAATGGTGCTATCAAATTCAATAGGAACTTTCAAAGGCGATTAGATAACTCCTTGAAGATATTAACTTGCTGGGTTAATGGGAAAAGCTGGGACATGGGACAAAATTGGTCAACTCTTTCAAAGAGCCAGCACAGGCATGATGGGTCAAACGCATGGTTCTACACTGTGACATCCTATGATCCTACGTGAAACATATGACTAATGCCGTAACTTTCTATTCGAGTGCTTTGTCTTGATTGTCTAATGTATCATACGCTGGTACAGATTAGTCATAAACTCACCAAGAACACAGGAACTACTTGAGGTGAGATTCCAAGTGATCTGTAGTTTTGACATGTCTCTACAGTCCTCTGTTTCTGCAACATTCTCCTGATCACAGCAAGATAAACAGGACTTCCTTTCAGCAAATGCTATGCTGGCTGGTGTCTGCAATAGAAAGAAAAAGCAGTTAAAAATTAATTACCTCTTCAGAAAGTACACACAACTATATAGGCTTAATTTTAGCAAAACTAATTTTAACAGCAGGGCATCACTGATGTACCGCTTTCATTTTCCTGAACATTAGGGCCAGAGGTTTGAGGGAAATGGTTGCTGAGCCATTAAAATCAAGCAGCAGCAGGCTGACACAGAGGAACCAAGCTAACTATCCAGGTAAGCGTCCTGGAAGGGAAACCTAGTGAGAGGAGTACAGGGGAGGAGGGCTACCGTTCCCCAGGGGAGCACTCCTTCTCAGCTTGTTTCACAGGAAACCATAAAAATACTTCCTTCCTGCCTGGTTTCTGCCTAGAAGCAGAATTAAAATTGGTCCCATGGTTTATATGGGTTTAGAATTTGTTCAAATTCCAGAAATTATAATGCGTCTTTCTTACAACATAGTTTTAAAATGTTGACATTTACAGAAATGTTGACCCCATATATTGTGCATTCAACATGCCTGAAAAATTAAAGAACTATGTAGAATTGCTATAATTGCAAACGTCTGCAAAGATTGTAATATGAGATTCCTTATCAATCTTCTTAGATTCTAAATAGTTTGAGAATTACCTATAAAATATCAGAAAGCTGTCCACAGTAATTGTGTACTACATGCATATCATAACATATGGAGTATTTGAGCTAAATACACATACTACTTTAGAAAAAAACTTAAAAAACTTGTCCCAGTTGAGTTGATACAGTTTTGAAAAAAATCACTCAGACGTATGTGGTTTAGTCAATATTAGAAAAATTTAAAATAGGATGTCTCTTGAAGTTTACACGTTCTCCCTGTGTCAGCATAAGTTTCTGCCGGGTGCTCTGGTTTCCTCCCGCAGTCCAAAGATGCGCAGGCTAAGCAGATTGGACATGCTAACTGCCCAGCAGTGTCCTGCAATGTGCAGGCTAGGTGTATTAGCCATGTGGGGTGTGTCTGGTTAGGATGCTCTTCAGAGAGTCGTGGCACTCTCAATGGGCCAAATGGCCTCCATCCGCATTGGAGGGATTCTATGACTCTATGACATGGAAAAAACAACTTTGTAGTGGTACATTTGAAGTTTAAATTCATGCTTCCAGTGACCCGCTGTTGCAAATATTTAGTTTGTAAGTCTTTTTTTTAAGTATATAAATTTTAGATTTAGAAATTGAAATTTAGTAGTAGAAAACTGGATAAGTTCAACTGAACCACATGGACTTGAGGCCATGTTATTTTAAATGGTTTAACCACTTAGCTTCCAGCTTGATGCTGAGAGAATACTGAAGCATAACAAGTGATACGGCAGCACAAGTGTTTCTGTTAGCAGCCTCCAGGCAGTTAGGGCATGAGAATTCCTCGGAAGTCATTCACAGTGCAGCGCCATTGAGTGAATGGTAAAGGAAATATTTGGTTGGTGCATTTGAGAAACACTGGAACTCACAAAAGCCTCAGGAGAATTGTGCACTCTCTGTGAAAGATTTGAAATTGTGCTTATGGATGATGCTACGGCTCAGTCTTAGGAATCCAGTGGAATACAGTTTGGGGGGGGAAGAGATGGAACTACCTGGATGTGAGCACTCACTGAGGCAATCTGTGATGGAACAGCTTTTGAAAGAGTTCTAAAACTACTAGAATCCCTTGTAACGGAGACAGGTTTTATTGAGATTTGGTTACTTACAGTGCCATTTACATCTGGGTGATATCTGTGTTGAATGTATTGGACACTTAATGTGCAGGCCCTTGGCTTTTCAATACCAGTTTGTATGGTAACCAATAATTACCTCATGTTAATCCTGGATGTTGGACTCAATGTTGTATACTTCATTTTCTGTTCGAACTTTAGTTTCTAACCAGAAATAACATTTACTTTGTTCCCTTAAACACATGGATTTCTGTCGCATTATTCTCTTATTGAGTACGTGGTATCTCAAACTTTGTCTATTTTAAACAAATCAAAAATTATTAGTCCCTAGTTGGACTGTAATGTAAGTTTGATGGACTCATCAGGGATAAACATACTACATATGGCACAGGTTGTAGATGATAAAAGATTCTGTTTTAATTTATGCAATGAAACTAAGTAAAGCCCTTTTCATGGCCAAAATGCTCAAAATTCAAACAGTCAAACAAACAAATAAGAGAGTGAATTGCCACACCATACATCAGGACATAAGATATAGATACAAGAGGAGCCCATTTAATCCTTTGAGCCTGGCCCACCTTTCTATATGATCGTGGTTTCGACTCCATTTTCATGCCAGCTCCTTATAGTCCTCAACTCCTCAACATTTTAAAAATCTACCTACCTTCTCATTAAATACTTTCAGGGATAGCGGCTCCACAACTCTCTGGGGTGGAGAATTCCGAATATTATTCTTCTAATGAATAAAGGCCTAACCAGCTTAGCCATCCTTAATCAGTCAACCCCTTCATCCCAGCAATCAGCTCAGTGAGCCCCTTTTGAACTGTCTTCAATGCCAATATATCCCTTCTTAAATAGGAGGACCAAAACTGTGTACAGTACTTCAGAAACAGCATTACCAACACTGTTATAACAAAATGCCCCTATTTTTAAAATCCAAACCCTAGCACTGAAAGGCTGCTGCAAGGACACTGCGTGTGCAGGGAGAGGCACCCTGTTCACGGATTCGACCAAGCTGCATCTCAGCATTGTTCATTTGCTCTCTTAGCACTTACCTGGATGCTCACAGATTCATTGTCTTGCCTATTAGCACAGTCACACAACTAAGCAGCTGGGCTTGTTGATCAGCAGTCCTTACTTAAGGTAGTAGACATCTTGCTGGATGGCCCCATACTATATCAATCTCACGCTAGGGGGTCGGGGGGCACATTCATGGGAAGGAGACTTGGTAGCCTTTTTTGTGGGACTGAAGGTTGAGGGGGAATTGAGAAGGACAATCGTGAAGAGGGGAAGATAACTGTATTAGTAAGTTGGGGTGGTCACTGAACACAGTAAAGCATGGAAAGCATGGATGGAAGTGATGTAATGCAGGAGGGGAGTACTTCACTGGCTTCAAGGGAGGAACAGTGTACATACTACACCTGGCATGATCACCTCAAAGCCACGGGCTGGAAGGGAGGGTGGGTGGTGGGAAGCTGGGCAGCGGCAAGCACATGTTGACGGGTTGGGTGGGGGCGTGGGGAAATGAGAAGCCTACAAGGTTCATGGGCAGGGATGACGGGAAAAGAAAATGGATTTTCAGAGCCTCACCGAGATGTAGAGATGGAGGCTGGAAAACCTTGCTAAAGATTGGCTACCAAAGCTTTCCATCCTGCTGGAAATTGAGGCATTGCAATTGGAAAGAGAATGGCTGAAGACAGAAGACTTTAGCTGGAATGGACAGGTGTCTTGTGGTGTACTGCTAGTGACCTTATCTCTCAGCCAGAAGGAACCTGGTTTCAAGCCCCACCTGCTCCAGAAGCATGCCATAACATATCTCAACAGGCTGATTAAAATATACCTACCAGTGCTTCACATTCACTTGGATGTTTGAAATATAAAGAAGTATTTTTGAGAGTACTCGTGGCACAGTGTTTGTGTCCCTATTTCTAAACCAGGAGATCTGGGTTCAAGTCTCACCTACTCCAGAAGTGTGTAAAACATCTCTGAACAGTATGATTAATACTATCTATTGCTGAAATGGAAATGCTACACACCCATTGACTTTATTCTATTTATCACTCTCATGTCAATCATTAAAAGGTCTTTCTTATCCACTGGACTATCTGCAATGACTGTCCAGGTTTTTATACATCTTTGCTTGGAAGAAATGCTCCAACACATTAATTTATAGAAGTGCAGTTCAAGTATAGTGTACGCGAACCAAGCTTTCCCATATGAAATATCTACTGAAGCATAACATCATATGCTTTTTAAGAAACCTACATTGTGTTCTGACTGTATATACACTGATCAGAACAGGAAACCTGCTTGTCCTCGGCAAATATTTGAAACAACTGAGGAATCAAATTCACTTTCATTGTGAACTAATGTTGACCTATGCTATCATTACAACTAAGAGAACTTTCAAAAGTTGATTGGAGTAGACTTCGCAAGTAAAAAGGACGTCTGATAAGTGGGAGGCGATCAAGACTGTGATGACGAGCGTTCAGAGGCATTTTGTTTCTTAGAGTAAAGGGTAAGGCTGGTAAGATTACACAACAATGGATGTATAAAGATATTGAGGTTCTAGTCGAGAATAAAAGAGAATTTTTTTAAAGATATAGACAACTTGGTTAAATTGAATCACTTAATCAAATAAACAACGTAGGGGCATTCTTAAGTGAGAAATCAGGAAGGGAAAGAGGGGATATGAGATAGCTTTGGCAGATAAGGTTAAGGATAATCCAAAGAGATTCTACAAATACATCAAAAGCAAGAGGGTAACTAGAGAGAGATTGGGCCTCTTAAAGATCAAGGAGGTCTCTGTGTTGAACCCCAGGATATTGGACAGATACTAAGTGAATATTTTGTGTCAGTTTTTACTGTGGAGAAAGAAAGGGAGTCTAGAGAATGCAGAAAAAAAAACTTTGATGTTTTAAAAACAATTCACATTACAGAAGAGGAGGTTCGGGATGTCTTAGAGAATATAAAGGTGGATAAATCTCTGGGACCTGCTCTAATGTATCCCAGTATATTGTGGGAATTAAGGGAGGAAATTATGAGACCCCCTGCAGAAAGATTTTCATCACCTATAACTACGGGTGAGGTGCCTGATGACTGGAGGGTGGCTAATGTTGTACCTTTGTTTAAAATTGGCTGTAAAGAGAAACCGGGGAACTGCAGACCAATGAGTCTGACTTCGGTTGTGAGTAAGTTGTTGGAGGTGATTATAAACATTGGGATTTATATACATTTAGAGAGGCAAAAATTGATTAGGGATAGTCAGCATGGCTTTGTGCAAGGAAAACTGTATCTCACAAACTTGACTGAGTTTGTTCAGGAAGTTACAAA